TCCAAATGGTATCTTCGCTTCGGCAACGCTGTCGATCCTACCGAGCATAAGCCCTAACCTGGAGAAAAAAAAAGCTGTCTTGGACATGAAGCCACCCAAAAGGTGAAGGATGTTGAGAAGCTTACCGGATGCATGGCTGCCCTCGGTCATTTTATATCAAGGTTAGGTGAAAAGGACTACCATTTTTCAAGCTACTCAAAGCATCCAAGATGTTTGAGTGGTCGGAGGAAGCGACGCCGCCTTTACACAATTTGAAACAGCTTCCTTACATCACCTCCGGTCCTCCTTGCTCCCGGAGAAGATGAAACCCTCCCGCTTACATTGCGACAACTAATCGAGTGGTCTCCACTGCCAAGGTGGTCGAGCACGACAAGCCCGGCCACGTATACAAGGTACAACGACCAATCTATTTCATCAGTGAGGTACTCAATGAATCCAAGACCAGATACCCACGATTCGAAAGCTGATCTCGCCATCTTGATTACATCCCGAAAGTTGAAACACTACTTGATGAGATATCGTGTGGTGGTCATGACCGAAAGTACCCTCTGGGAGACATCATTCGCAACAAGGATGTGAACGGGCGCATCGTCAAATGGGCAATGGAGTTATGCTCTTTCTCCTTGGAATTTGCAAGCCGTACTACAATCAAGTCTCAGGCACTTGTCGATTTTATCATCGAGTGGACAGACTTAAGCACACCTGCCTCTCAGGGGCCCATGGAGTATTGGAATATGTACTTCGATGGCTCTCTCAACATCGATGGCGCAGGAGCAGGAGTCCTTTTCGTATCACCATCCAAGGAGCAGCTCCGATATGTCCTCAGGATTTACTTGGCGTCGAATAACGCCACCGAGTACGAAGCATGCCTACATGGTCTGCGCATCATGGCTGAGCTCGGTGTTAAATGTCTCTATGTCTATGGAGACTCAGCTTTGGTCATCAACCAACTTCAACAAGGACTGGTATACGACCAGCAAAAAGATGGACGCATACTGCAAAGCGATCAAAAAGCTGGAAGGTAAGTTCTATGGCATCGAGTACACACATGTGGTCTAGGACAAAAATCAAGCAGCAGATGCGCTGTCAAAGTTAGGATCATCCCGAGCCAAAGTCCCACATGGCGTATTTGTTCAAGATCTGCTCACGCCCTCCATCAAAGAAGAAGATCCCACGGTCGACAAGCTTCCAGACCAGCTATTGGTGGCTACGGTTCCGGCGTCAAACACCACCAAACCACCTCCGACCACTAAGGAGCCTGACTGGAGAGTACCTTTCATCAAGTACCTGACAGATGGTAGTGGTTACACCGATCGGACAGAAAATGAATGCCTGATGCGTCGCAGTAAGCAATATCTGCTCGTCGATGGCAAATTGTGGCGCAAGAACGTGAAGGAGGAAATCTTGATGAAGTGTATAACCCAGGAGGATGGTGAACGTCTCCTAGACAAAATCCACTCCAGCTCCTATAGCAACCATGCAGCCTCGAGAACACTAGTTGGCAAGGCTTTCCGAGCAGGGTTTTATTGGCCGTCAGCCATAGCCGATGCAGAGAAGCTAGTCCGCTATTGTGAAGGTTGTCAGTTCTTCGCCAAGAGAATCCACGTACCAGCACACGAGATTCAGACTATACCAGCCTCTTGGCCCTTCGCATGCTAGGGACTAGATATGATCGGCCCTTTTAAACCGGCCCCTAGGAAATTTACATGCGTCTTTGTGCTGATCGACAAATTCTCCAAGTGGATAGAGCACATGCCCCTGGTCACGGCATCTTCAGAAAAGGCTGTCTCGTTCCTCGACCAGGTCATCTACCGTTTCGGCATACCCAACAACATCATCACCGATCTGGGTACTCAGTTCACCGGGAACACTTTTTGGGACTTCTGCGATGAAAGGAGCATAGTAGTAAAATACGTCTCGGTGGCACACCCTAGAGCTAATGGACAGGTCTAGTGGGCAAACGGTATGATCCTGGACGCACTTAAGAAGAGGATGTACAGAGAGAATGACAAAGCTCCTAGAAGATGGCTCAAAGAGTTACCAGCCGTGGTCTGGGGTCTCAGAACCCAGCCCAGTCGCAATACCGGCGTATCACCATACTTTATGGTTTATGGCGCTGAGGCAGTACTTCCAGCAGATATAGCCTTCAGATTAGCACGGGTAGAGAACTTCGACAAAGACAAGGCCAATGAAGTGCGGGAGCTAGAAGTGAATAGTGCAGAAGAGAAGCGGCTTGATTCTTGTATACGTACAGCCAAATACCTTGCTATTTTGCGCAGGTACTACAACAAGAACGTCAAGGAGCAGTTCTTCGTGGTCGGGGACCTGGTCCTAAAGTGGAAGATGAATCAGACAGGTGTCCACAAACTTGCAACCCCATGGGAAGGACCCTTCATGATCAAGGAGGTTACACGCCCTACATCTTATAGGTTAGCTCGCCTAGATGGCACAGACGTACCCAATTCTTGGCACATAGACAAGCTTAGGCATTTCTATGCTTAGCTACTAAGATATGTACCCCTCTTGTACTATTGATTTATTTCAATAAAGCTATTATGATTTCTCCGACCACTCTAATGTGTCATTTCGAGGTCTATTGTTATTCTAACTCTACCAGTTAAAACCGACCACCATCCCTTCTCGGGTTTTTGGAGCAGGCCCTGTCTCTGGTTCCTCCCAACGCGTGCATGGGATCCGCTCTCTATGCTACGGTTGATCGGCAGGTGCTCTCTGGTTTGACTTGTGTGTTTCTATGTGTGCACAAGCTATGCACCTCACACTCCGACGACAAGACAAACTAGGGCCATACAAACCTTTCAGGATGATGTGTCGACTAAACTGATACAACTAAACAGAACACCAACACGTTCTAACTTAGTTACATCAACACAATATCCAAGCTTAAACACGTTTTCTACAAAACAAACAAGCTTATGTTGATACACAGTTACGTTATTACAAGCTTGCCTGAAAAGGTCCAAGTTTACAATAACCCAACTACATCTTCTTCTACAGCTATAGCCTACACTATTGGCTGGTCAGGGCACGCGGCACCTGCTGCTCGCTGGGCCTGACATCGTGCAAGGGTCTCGAGGACTCTGGCATTGATCGAGCTGAAGAAGATGGCCCCGCCGACGCCTAGCTAGTCGAGACTGTAGGCTTCACCGGTTGGCTTGAAAATGACTGCGCTCCCAACTGACTTGTTGACGGCGTGCCTTGTATGGGTGGTGTCGCACCTCCACACAGGTTAATATCACCAATTATTTTTGCCGACAAGTCCAGCTGGGTCACCCGTAGCTCCTCGGCCTTGTCTAGATTTACCTCCTTCGGGTATCCAGCCTCCAGGCGCTTGAGATCGATCAGGGGGTAGTGAGCACGTACCATGCTTAGCACATGTGCGCTTGCGTACTCTCCTGCCTCCTTCAGGAACTCCTAGAACCATCCCCATGCCTTTTGGCACCTCTCGATCAATCCCAGCTGTGGCATCCTTGGCACATCTTCTGCTAGCACTGGATCGATGAGGTTAAGGACCGGCAATATGCCCTTTGCCACCTCATGGCACCGGCTTTTCTAGGTGTCACAGTCCTTGGTGATCTCTTGGCATTGCGCCTTCCAGTCGTCATGGTCTTTCATCATGGCCTCCAGATGCTTCTTGGCATTGATTTTTATAACTGCAAACCGCACACGACATTAAGACGTTAGACCATGCCAAACTATGATACGCAATAAAAATGAGCACAGGCGGTTGGACAACTTACCTTTCAGCTCCTTAGTTATCTTGGTCGTGTGGTCCCGGAGCTGTGACTGGTCTTGCGCTAGTTTTCTATTGTCCTCAGATAGGCGATCACACTTCCCAACCACACGACTGTTCTCCTCTTGGAGACAGATCACTTCAGCTTCTAAGCCTGCACTACAGCTGTTACTACCAACAACGCAACAGCCCTTGCCAGTAGTCGATATGATAAAATGACTACTTACTTGTTCTTTCCTGCTCTTTATTACTGAGCTGGATGACCAGGTTTTGGTTCTGGGAATCTTGCACCGTCTTTTCATGATCGGCGGCTTCATGTCACTAGCGCAAGCGATCCACCTCCACCGTCAGCTCCTTGTTGTTTGCAACAATCCCCTCGATCCAGTCGAAGCATTTCTTGCGGTACCTTGCGGTCTTCATTGAGTCCTATATGCAGATAGCTAAGTAAGACAACTACGACTATACCGCAAGACCAGGGGGTGAAGCTAAGCTTACCTGCACTTCTGTAACAAGCCGCTTCGCCGCTCGTTCAACTTTCTTGGTTTCTTCGACCCCTGGGACTTCCTCATGGATAACCCATTGGTCGTTCCACCAACGCGACCCATAAACATGTTGTTGTTTGTCTTGCGGATGGCCCAGGACCTCCTCCACCTCGTCCTCTTTGGGTTCTTCGATGGGTCCTGGTGCTGGCTCGGTGTCAGTAGCATCTGTGGTCACCACAGCCTTCCCATGAGCTGCAGCGTCGGTAAAGGTGGTATGTGCTCTCACCACCGGCCGCTGCTCCTTGGTCTGCTCCATTACCATCGATGCTGAGGTGTTGCCCTCAACAGGTTTAGCGTTCAGAGCACTCGTGCCCAGCTCGGCTGGTACCTC